TAATTTTGACCTGTTCATCAAGAATTGGCCGAAATCCGCTACGTTGCCTACTTTAGTCCTTTTAACTGCCAAGTACGAATTACAAACATCATGTACAGCCATGGTATAGTGATATTCTATCAATTCTTTCTACAGTTCTTCCATTTCAAAAAATATATAGTTTGACTGTCTTTTTCAAGGTTGTAATGTTGATGTTCAAAAACTGCAAGATTGGTTTTGGCCATCCAGGGTACAAGATAGAAAGGGTTGAAGTAAACACTGGACAAAAAAATGTGATCATTATAATTCTTTCTTTATTTTAGACATATTCGTATTTAAGGACAACTGTATCTTTGTGCAATTGTCCTTTATTAAATGCCCCTCACCCCTCTGAGCACATCCCACTAGGACAAATACTTACCTCCAGCTTTGATCCAGTGATCTTCATTGTGCGGCATAGTTCAGAGCCTTTCTCCTGATAACAGCCATTTCATAGTGCACATGTGTGCTGCAGCCCCCTTCAGCCCCCTTCAGAATGCAACAGCTGGAGGCAGCCGTGAGTACGGCTTTCTCATAGGCATGATTGGGCCCTGTTACATGTGCAGTACAAAATGGCTGTTTTTTCAGGAGAAAAACTAAACTGCTTCACTGAAGATTGCTGAGCATGGGGCTAAGGCAGGTATTTGTCCTAGCGGTATGCACTGTGAAGGGGGATTTAAAAAAATGGACCTTGCAATATACAGTAGGCTGTAAGGTCCACTTATTGTGTTTGGGCCCGGGCCTCCTCCCCTGTAAAAATTGTTACCACATAGTATTTAAAAAAAATTTACATGTATGGAAAGAAGTAGGGATGCATCAAAAATGAAAATTTGTGTCCGAAGCCAAAAATTTAAGATTTGTCCAGCCGAAATTGAAAATGCCCGCCTAGCCAGGTGGGTGCCAGAGTAGCTCAGCTTTCTGCGGGCACCAGGTGAAAGAGCCAGGAGAGTGCCACACTATTTCAACTAGCTTCTAGTTCAGACCTGATGCAAGGAGGAAGTGGGGGACATGTGAATCTTTAAAAAGAGCCTTACCTGATACCTCCAAGAGACTAGTAAAGCCATCTTCTTTGTTACAGAGTTATGCTATTCAAGTGAGGGATATCCATCAACCTCCAAAATGTAATTGACAGCATCTTGTAGGAGAAGGAGGAAGATACAAATCTAGTCAGTCACACCCGTTACTTCAACTACTTCTGCTAAAGTCTGTTAAGCTGGTATGCCCTTACCCTGGGTGCCTTTACAGGTGGAAGGAATATACAGAAGTGCTCTCCTCAATTAAGGTGTCTAAATTACTTTGCTGACCTGAGTTTCTATGAAAAGCACTTGAAGTACATGCCTTTACCAGAGCTTAGAGGCCAAAATATCCAGGGCATCAGTGCAGAGGTTACCTGTAGATCAGGCTGTTGTTTGACCCCTTAGTTGTTTGACAGAAAAGAACCTTAGACACACAGGCCATTGTGTTGCGGCCAGGGTACCAGCGCCTGATTCAAGAGAGGAAGGCCCCAACAGAGGAAGCGTCAAAGCTGGAAGAGGCACTTTGCGCACCTGAGAAAGAAATGGCGACTCATGGTCCAGGAGATTCACCCTCTTTGCAGTTTTGTCAGAGCCCAAAGAGCAAAGGATTCAATGACAGATCTGGCCCACTGTGGAATCAACAGGGGATTCAAAAAGGAAATCACCAGTAATGTGTCCTGAGCTTATGTACCAGTGAGTGACACCCCCTGCCCTGTACCTAAAACACCATGGTGCGGAGTTCCACTGTCTGTATCTTGTGCTGGATATTTCCACAAAATATGTCTGCTTGCACGGAAGAGGTATGGCTAATCTGTGATACTGTTGTTTGATTTCTTGCCATATGTTAATGATTTGTTTGCCTAAATTATGCAAACAATTGATGTTGTTTAGGGACCAAAGAATTTTGGCATAGGGAGAGTGTAACATCAGCTGCCCGTGGCCCCTTTAGGCTGTATAGCAGAACATCTCTATGCTATCTAGATGGCCAAAAACATTTTTTGTTTAATTTCAGATTTTTCGTTTCTCGGAATTCAGGTCCAAAAGTCAATTCATTTTGTTATTTGGATCCGGATCCTTCTGAATTTTCGTTTTAATTTTGGATGAGTTAAACGATAATTACGAACAAACGTTTGTTGCAGAAATAACCATAGACAGATTTGATTGGTGTGTATTTCACTGTTAAAATTACATTAAATGTTTACTTTTTTCTTTTTAATTTTTGACAGTCCACAGGAACATGAAGTAATTGTTTTTTTTTTTTTCTTCAATTTCTCTTAAATCATTGTTTTTTAGTAGGGATGCATCGATACCGTTTTTTTGGTATCGAGTACGAGTACCGGTATTTATATTTCGGTACTCGCCAATACCGAGTACCGATACTGGTACTTCCGGTAGCATAGAGCCGGCTTCCCGGGCAATCAGGAAGCCAGGTGGCGTGTCATTACCCACCGCCCGGCTTCTTGATTGCCCGGGAAAACTACTCCATTCTTTTTAGCCGTTTCGATGCTGATTGACCGGGAAGCCGGCTTCCCGGGCCAATCAGCATCAAGGCCGGCCAAATAGATCTGACAATATGGTGACAGGACCCCCACCCTGCAGGCACCTCATTCCCCTCACATAGATCCTTAGCAGCAGTCATTACCGTACCAGTCTCTCGGCCAGCTTGGCAGACACGACTCTCCAAGCTCTCCCGGATCTGCTCGCGTCTCCTGTGTGTGCAGCGCCCGCGTGATCGGCCCCCAGCCTGCAACTGCGCATGCGCATACTGCCCAGTGCTCTCATTCAGAAATCCTGTGCATGCACAGTAGCAGGCTGGGGGCCGATCACACGGGCACTGTGCACACATGAGACGTGGGCAGATCTTGGAGAGCGGTGTCTGCCCATCTGGCCGAGGGTCTGGTACAGTAATGACTGCTGCTAAGGATCTATGTGAGGGGAATGATTTGTCTACAGGGTGGGGGTCGTGTCGTCATATCATATTATCAGATTTGTTTGCCCGGCTCGACACTGATTGGCTGGGAAGCCGGCTTCCCGGCCAATCAGCATGGAGCTGGTCAAACAGCATGGAGCCAGCTTCCCGGGCTCCATGTTCCCGCGCAGCACTGCCGGTCAGAGGAAATCTCCCTCTGACCGGAAGTTCCAGTATCGGTAAAGGTATCGGAGCATTTGGGCGAGTACGAGTCCTCGGCCCAAATACCTGGTATCGGCACCGATACAGATACTAGTATCGGTGCATCCCTTTTTTTTTTAAGGATCCCCACCACTAGCCCCCTCCTCAGCAGCTCACTGCACCAGCTAGCCGGCTGCTAAGGAGTCTGCTGTGCGTGCGGGTCACGGCTGTGCTCGCTGGTCGCCACTTGCTGTGTGCGTTCATAGACGCACACAGCTTGTGAAAAGCCATGCCCCCCACTCCTGCAGTCACAGTAAATTGAAATTCAAGGTGGCGAAGGACTACAATTTTCATACTCGAGTCCAGGTCCGCTTCACGGTCCAGAAAGAATGGTCAGTCAGTCCCACCACATTCACACCAGCAGCTGCATTATAAGCACAGCTGCCAGAGTGTGATGTACTATAGAGTGTACAGAGTGCAGGGGTCAGGACTATGTAGCATATAAAGTACAGCAGTCAGGACTATGTAACAGTCAGCAGACCATATAGAGTGTAGTGATCAGGCCAGTGTAACAAAGGGTGAAGAGTTTGGAGAAGGCAGGAGAAATTAACAATCTAGGACAACATAGCTGATTGGGAAAAATTCTCCAATCCACTTACTTTCCAGTTTAGCTATGTTGTCCTAGAGCAGTGGTGGCGAACCTTGGCACTCCAGCTGTTTTGGAACTACAAGTCCCATGAGGCATTGCAAGGCTCTGACAGCCACAGACATAACTCCCAGAGGCAGATGCATGTTGGAGTGCCAAGGTTCGCCACCACTGTCCTAGAGTGTTCACTTCTCCGGCCTTCTCCAAACTCTTCACCCTTTTGTAAATAACCCTGCAAGTCATTCGTATAGTCAGAGTGACTTGCTTTGTTACTGGTTTCACCTCCTGTGCCTGTGTCTAGTGATACCTACGCGTAGATGTGTCCTGTCTGTTGTGAATACACAGGATGCACTCCTTAATGGACCACAGCCCTAAGAAGCTAGCATATTACGTTTCATGCATTATAACCAACGTCATGTACTGACAAGGCAGAGTTTTTTTGCCTATGTAGCTATACATCATCTGCAATAAGATTTATCATATTCTAAGTTTAAATACCAATAATGCTTACCTGATATCATCTTTAAGGGAGAACGAAGAATCTAAGGGGACCTAAAATCTTTTCTAATGTATGGCCAGCTTATGTTTAATAGGCAGTACTCCTATACTTATGACACAATTAATTTCACTTTAAAACTGGCAACAGACCTAAAAGGAAAGATGGACATTACCAAATATCTTCTCTTTTTTTAGCTATGTGCATTGACATGTATGCTTGCATTGCCTGTCCATACCCCAAACAACCAGCTTCTGAGTGATCAGTTGAGAATTTCTGGACTGCTATGAAGGGGCCCAATCAGGCTGAAATTGACCGTCTTATATGGTTACCTTTACATTTTCATTGGCAGTGTAATTGCTGCTTTCAGATCCAGATCTATCAGGTGGTTGCATGTGTTTCCAAAAGAGAATAGGTCAAAATTGGTCCTCAAGCATCCGGTGATATGATTATGAATGGAACTGGCTGTGTAGATACAGGTGAAGACATCAAAGATAACAGGGAAAGCAAACAGTGCTTGAGAGTATATTTTATTTCCATCAGCTTGATGGAGAGGCATCTGAAAAAAAAAATGGAATAAGATAAACTCAGTATGTAGACAGGAATAAATTTAAATGACGTATGACGGAGAGATAACAGGGGTATAAAACTTAAGCTATGAGAGGGAGGTTCAGAAAGACTGCTGTTGGAAGAGTGGGCTCTCGCATCTTGTTTCACAATCACAATGGAATCAGAAGAATACAGAAAGAGAGGTAAGTCACTTGGACCCTAATGCATGTTACCATATGGTAAGGCTACATTACTTTATAAATTCAAATGTTTGTCACCTCTTTAGACTATATCTTTTAACCCTTTCACTGCCAAGACCTTTATTTCCATATTTTGCACACATGGAATAATCCACATTTTAGGCCTGAAAATTACTTCAAACCCAAAATATTATATCTTTTCTGAAAGCCAACACCTTGTAGAATAAAATAGTGGCAGTTGCAAATGTTTATGTTGTTGTATGATATTGGTTATACTCTTCATCAAACTCAAAATGTAGTGAAAAAGTTATTTTTTTGTGCCCCAAAAAAACAATAAAATACCCATTTACGTCTGTGAAACTGCAACAAAATTCAGTACCAAAAAGTCCATAAACAACGCTTTGAAAGCCCCTACAGGTCATCAGTTTAAAGCTACACGTAAATATTGGTGCTAGAATTATTGCTCTCTGGCGTGTGAGTGTTGACTTAACAGCTGAGCAGGTCTAATAATGTGTGATAAACCTCCCGTAAGCTTGGCTATGCTTCCAATCCTGTGAGCACCCTTCACTGTATGAGGGCTCCTGTTCCCTCTGGTCTCCACTATGAAGCTACTTCACCCTTCACAGCAAAATATGCACTCCCTAGCCAGACTTATTGAGAGGCTGATTTACTAATATTCAATTCAATTATCTAATGTGCAGATCAAATAAGTAAAGATGAATTTGCTTTTTACGTGATTAGCATATTAAAGTGACCGTATTTTCAGGAGTTATATCTTAAAAAGTCATTCAATTACCTGAACTATTAACAAAAATGTATCCTATTTGTGTATCACTCGGCTGTAGATCCTCCAATCATCTCTGAATTGGTGCTGACACTGTCCTTCCTTCTGGAGGGTGGCTATTTTTGTTCCCCATGGTCCCTGTGTGTGTTGTAAAGTAGTCACCACTCCAAGCTCACTCCCGTGATGGATTACAATCTCATGCTTAGTTTACTAATTTGCATTGACGTTAAGCTTATCATGGGACTGAGCTTGGAGCGGTGGCTAATTTGCAACACACATAGGGACAATGAGGAAGAAAAGTAGCCACCCTCCAGAAGGAAGGACAGTGTCAGCACCAATTCAGAGATGATTTGAGGATCTATAACTGAGTGATACACAAATAAGATACATTTTTGTTAATATTTAGTGTACTTTCATGCATTTTTAAGATTTATCTCTTGAGTTTAGCGTCACTTTAAAGTGAATATTTACACAAATTATTGTGTGAACATTCTCAACTTCTTGAGTAAATCATCCACTTTTACTCAAACTTCTCTAAGCTCCCAGAGGTGAGCATGATCAGTGTGCTGCATCCAGATCAAATGGGAAGTAGTAACAGCAGGTTAAAGGGGACAATAAAAAAAAATATATGCGGATAGTAAAAAATGTTTTACTTTGTAAAAACAATAATTATCCTGCCATTATCTCACATCCCATTAATTTTTATGTGGGCACAGCACAACTCAATCACATTCAAACTTCAATTAGCTTTATTGGCAGAACTAACTCACCAAAGCGGTTGAGGAAATATGGGTTGGTAAGAGGGAAGCATGAATAAGTCCTTGGACATGATCAGGGGTAGCAGATAATATTAAATGGATAGGAGATGAGCCCTGGATTATTATTGAGGTAAGGGATAGTATAGAAATGAGTCCAGGGACATTATCAGAGATAATATAAAGGGCAAAGGAGCGCAGTCCAGGAAGAGGATATATAAGTACATAATTCCTTGAGGAAGAAAAGTGGTAGTGAAAAAGTCTATCCGGAGAGTGCATCTTTGCTGAGGAGGGTGAAAGAGAGAGCAACTTCATAGGGGAGACATGGTGGAACCAGAGGACAGCAGTATGATTTGATCCTGTGAAGATGGGAGCCCTCTCACTGTGGATGGTTCACAGGATTAGAAGCCTATGTGACCTTACCGAAGCTTTTTCATATGTTATTAGCCCTATCTAGCTGTTAAGTCTGATATTATCTGGGTACTGATCTTGCATGTTACTGGTGGTGGAAAAAGATCAATAAGTTGTTTGTAAAGAATAATGTTCTTTACACTGTTACGATGGTTGACTAATTTCATATTACATTACACCATTGTAAGCTCTTATGGGTCTTCCTGATCCTCCTGTATTGTATTGTAGCTGTACCATCTCCCTTTATTTTGTAAGGCACTTCACAAATGTTGTTGCTATATAAATCCTGTATAATAATTATAATCATATGCGTATCAATCAGATCCTTTTGTTGAACTATATGAACTTTTAAATGTTTAACTGCCCACTTAATGGAGGTTATGGTTTTATGATTAAGTATTTATTCTGCTTATGAGGATTTATTTATAGAGTTGTAATGTTGTATTGCATGTTGTTTTAGCACAGAACTCTCTATTTTGTTTTTAAAGTGCTTTCTAGCATTTTTGAAGCAACTGTTTTGGCAGTAGCTTGTGAATTGATTGATATATAGTTATCTCTTAGTTGCTCTGTGAATCAGATATCTCTGAAAGCTCAGTTTTGTTTTTACATATATAGGTAAAAAGCAATGCAATGCTTATGGATTTGTTCATACCTTGCTCTATTGTACTTGGCTTTTGCTTAAGCTTACCCAAGAGTTTCAGATAGAAGGAATTATCTCAACAGGTGAAAAATGTTGAAAGTTCCCAGACTCGGCTGGATTAGTTCCCAAATGCTTGTACTGGGTGCAGCCGCTTCAAATGTAACATCGTATTATGTATATATCATATAAAGATATACAGATTAATACCCAACTAATTTACAAATCAGGAGACCCTAAAATATTTCACCTTTACAAAAGAGGACCAGTAATTTGTTTTGATCACCTAAGTACAGTCGGTATTGTATACTGTATGAGAACTTGGCTCAAGCTCATCTTGCATCACCCTTTCTCAGTCTTAGTCTCATTCCTGCAGTTGGTTAGTTGGTCAATATTAACTACTGCACTGTACATTAGCATTTAAATTACAGTATGCTAACCTAAGTAATGTAGTGTATATTAGAGCTGATTTCCTTCATTACTTGCTGAGGGACCAATTCACTTAATGACCTAGGGTAGGTATAGGACTCGGTCGTGAAGTGAGGAGTCTCTGTATTGTAATATTCACCCCAACTCTTCACATCATTCAATCCTAATCTGCCTGGCCAGGTAGGGGATCTAAACACCTGGTCTTCAAGCGGTTAAAAACACTGAGCCTGCCAAAATTTTACATTTTACTGTCATATTTGCAAATATTTTGTAATTTGCAAGTGGTTTTCTTATAGGTAGTAGTAAGCAAAACATTGTAGATCTTGCTAATAGAAGGAGGTAATATATTATAGTGAAATAAAATGTTAATCGTACCACAAATGTCTATTGACCAGTCAGTAAAAAATGTTGTGAATTAGTTATTGAAGCAGCTTCATATCTATGGTTTATACATGTTCCTAGGTAAAGAGCTGGTGGACTACATCTGCCATTATCTCAGCACTGTGAGGGAAAGGCGTGTAAACCCAGATGTCCAGCCTGGTTATATGAGAGCCCTGCTGCCAGACAGTGCTCCAGTGGAATCGGAGAGCTGGGATAATATTTTCAGGGACATTGAGGAAATCATCATGCCTGGGGTAATGTAAATTGATAAAGAACTATGTATCTTGGAAATAACTCCTAGAGGGATTACATTAGACACACTTACTGAACAAAACATTGACAACATTATCAAATATTTGAAAAAAAATTGCATTCCAGTCCACAAGTTAATTTCCGATCATTTAAATGCAACTTAAAAATCAGGAAATTTGCTCAAATACAAGCAGATATGAACAATATGAAATGGTAACAGCAAAACACACAAGCTATAAAGATATGTGAATGATACACAATTCAACTCGTATACATAATACTTAATCAGAACGTCAAGCTGTCTATCATCAGTCTAAGGTCAAAGAAAATGTACAGTGGATTTGTACATTTGTTTGTTTATTGAGATCAGGACTTAATACATAAAAGTAGCTAGTCATGGAAATGCAAAGCGTTGGAAATTAATATTATTTAATTCGTCTTAGGCATGTGCACTAGCAAAAAAATTGTTTTGTTTTGATTTGGATTTTGCTTTATTTTGTTTTTCGGAAATCGGGTCTGAAAAGTCAATTCGTTTCGGAATTCGGACTAAATTCGTTAGCGGTAATCTGTAAGAAATTTTGTTTCGTTCGTTCGTTGCCACAAAGTGACATTTAAGAGGAAAATTTTTTTTTTTTGTCCTCAAATGGACAAAAGTTCGTCCAAAAATAATGAATCGCAAATTTGGATTCGTTTGCATTGGTTATATTTGTAATTCGGAATTCGGATACATCCGAATCTCCGAATTTCTGAAATTTCGTCCGAATTTCGATTCGGAACGAAACAAATCGCACATGTCTAATTAGTCTACCCAGCTCCAGATTGTTTTTCACATCTTTAGGATTGTATCATTTTTAACTGTGCAGAAAAAAGACTGTCTGAAGAACTTAATGACTAAATGCTTATCAGGAGGCAGCTTAGTCCTGGGGTTTTAAGAGTTGAAGAGAGCCTCATAGCAAGTATGCCTGCTGCGCAGTCCCTTTTGCTAGTCTATAGTTCTCTGTGATTCCTTTGTTATGAAATGATTATTTCTATGATTACAGAAAAATTAAGGATTTCTATATAATTTCAGTTGCCTAAATCTCTAGGTATAATGATCACTTTGACATGCAGTTTTCATCGAAGATAAAGTCTGTTTATACATTCTTCACCTTATGTTCAGTTTGAACTGGCCAGATTTGTGAAATGTTAACTTTAAGGTTCCATAAATGGAGCAAATACAGTTTTATTTATCTATAAATGATTGCATTTGTCCATACTTTTAGCACAAACATATTTCAGGAAATAACTTCCAAAAAATGAATATAAAGTTGAATGACTGTTAGGAAAATAAAGTGATAATTAGCCCATCAAGGTAAACACAGTATACATTTTCTCTGTGCAAAGGGCATACAATGGGTTTCAATGGGTTTTGTATAATTGTCCTCATCCATGGTTCCATCTATTGATTAGCATTCATTATTTGTCCCTATAGGTTGTCCATTGGCAGAGTCCTCATATGCATGCTTATTTCCCAGCACTAACATCCTGGCCTTCCTTGTTAGGAGACATGTTAGCAGATGCCATAAATTGCTTAGGATTTACATGGGTAAGTTGTACCTAATCCATAGCTGTGTTAGTGCTTCTGTTTTTTTTATGTTGTGGGTTTGTGGATCCAAACTACTACAATTACTACCAATGCTACTTTTGCTGCAACCATGGCTACTAGTGAAAGACAGACAAAACATGTTTGTGATATACTGCCATGCTGCAGGGTAAATGTATACTTAACTGTGTTCATTGCCCCAGAAGTAGCATAAAGCATGTATATATACAAATTAGGGAATTGCTGCTTCACTCAGTGCAAGCAGCATCTGCATTCCAAATTGTTTCCTGTGAATATATTTTCATAAACATGTACAATTGGCTCACCTGAGCTTAAGGCTCAGAGAAAAGAGAAAAATTATGTTCCTGGAGTCAACTTATTGCAGAGGGAAAATGATTGTTCATAATAGTTCAACACAACAATCAGTTCTGCCCTTGGTTGGCCAGGGATGCCAAAGTGACAGCGTGCCTGCCAACATACAAAATCAAGTGATAATCACCTTATTTCTGTGGTCAGTGCTTACATAGTTAACTTGCCTAGTAATCAGTACCAGCAATGATACAAAGTGAGACTTATTGGGGCAAGGAAGGGAAGTCTACAGGAAGCAGTATTTCCAGATCAATATACAGTATTTCTAGATATATAAAAAAAAAATATTTTTGACCTGGCTCCCATTTCACTTCTGTATTACAATGACTATAAGAACCATTTCAGACACGGGGTCCGATTAGGTCCACCTGTCAGTTTTTCAGACGTATCTGATTGGAAGTCCAATGTATGGTGTATGGGCAGCCAGATCGCATGCAGGCCCGGATTTCCCACAAGGCCACCGAGGCCCGGCCTCGGGGTGGCAGAGCGCAGAGGGGCGGCAGCGGTGACCTTGTGTGGAAGTTGCGGGCGCCGGTGTAAGGTGTCCGGCGGCCGCACACTACGGTCTGCCGCCGTCCAATTGGGGGGGGGGCCGTATTGTGGAACCTGGCCTTGGGGCGGCAGGGGGAAGTAAATCCGGCCCTGATCGCATGTAAACGGATGTATGTCCATTTTAATGCGATTACCTCCGACTCCAGCCAGGTCCAGAAAACCAAACGGAACAGGGGTTTCCTTTTTGGCGGACCTGATCGTGACAGATTGGGGTAATCTGATGCAAACGGACACATGTCCTTTTACATCCGATTTCCCTTAGGCCTAACATGTTTCTGGTTAAGTTCAGTTTTTTTCCTCTATTGCAAGATGGAGAAAAAATTGAACAGACACGGATGTCATGATGGTGACATCCATCTTGAACTCCTCTGATCAGCAGGAGATTCATGCGCAGATTCCCTGCTGATTGGAACTGACAGGCACCCATGTGAAAGGCCTTAGATAGTTGCATGACCATTACAATTTACAGCTCACTTTCTATCTTGGAATCTTAAGTTGGATTTATATGAAATATATACACTGAGATATGTCAGGTATTCTTTGTGCTTCATACTTTTTTCCTGTGCCCCATGACCAGGCATCCAGCCCAGCATGTACAGAATTAGAAATGAATGTTATGGACTGGTTGGCAAAAATGCTGGGACTTCCTTGCCATTTTCTCCACCATTATTCAGAGAGCAAAGGAGGAGGGGTGCTGCAAGTAAGTTCTATTGAAATACATGGACGTTTACATAAGGTCTCAGACATCTCCTTGGAATATGTTTGCTGTAGTCTGTGTATTTTTTTCTACCCAGTGAGTGCATATTAGAATACAACAAACAGCAGATATATAATAATCAGAATATTGGTCAGCATACAAATTTCCAGTTTGTGGTCACTACTAGGGCCACACATACAGAATAAAGTAGATATAGTCAACAAAAAACATTCAGTAAAAAATCTGCATGACCCACTATTTACTGTACACAAGTCCTGTGTAAATGATGAGAAATAGAGAAATAATTAGTAATGGCCATCTGAATCCCTGTGGCCACGCACAATTGTTAAAGTGACAAGTAGCGTTCTGCTTAGGCTTTTCTTCTTTTTTTTTTCATATCTCTATTGGTTAAACTTGATTGACTTGTGTCTTTTTTTCAACCTGACTAACTAAGTAACTATGTAACACTAAACTCAGGAGGTACATCTTAAAAATGCATTTAAGTACCTTAACTATTAACAAAAATGTATCTTATTTGTGCATCACTCGGCTGTAGATCCTCCAATCATCTCTGAATTGGTGCTGACACTGTCCTTCCTTCTGGGAGGTGGCTACTTTTGTTCCCCATGGTCCCTGTGTGTGTTGTAAAGTAGTCACCACTCCAAGCTCACTCCCGTGAAAGATTACAATCTCAATACAAATTAGCTAACTAAAGGTGAGATTGTAGTCCATCACGGGAGTGAGCTTGGAGCGGTGACTACTTTACAACACACGCAGCAACCATGGGGAACAAACGTAGCCACCCTCCAGGAGGAAGGACAGCGTCGGCACAAATTCAGAGATGATTTTAGAATCAGCCGAGTGATACACAAATAAGATACATTTTTAATTGGGTACTTCTCTTGAATGCATTTTTAAGATTTGACTTCTGAGTTTAGTGTCACTGTAACAAATCAAAGGGGCTCATTTTATAAAGCAGTGGTATGGCCTTACCACACACACACACACACACACACACACACACACACACAACATTACTTTAACAAAAATTACTCTGACACATGTATAGCACAGCACAGCATTGTGCTTCATAATGAGCTTTCTGCGTTGCTTGCTTCAGGACTCCAAAGCGAGGGCAGAACCATTCCAGTTCATAAATGAAAGATTACAAAAAAGCACTGTCAAAGTCATGTGACTGGACACTATCCCTATCCAACACTCTAGTGGATACTGCAGACAACAACCACAACTACTTGCATTTTAGGACTGGGTCGTAAAATGCAGGCAGCGCCTGATCTCCGATATGAATAGCAAATTGAAGTCGAAGACCATCTTGGCTTACTATATCTCTCATACATATTTTGGAGGATGTGGTCCTATGTAGCTAAATGTATTGGGTAGGGATGTCCCGATACCAATACTAGTATCAGTATCTAGACTGATAAAAGGCATTTTCACGAGTACTTGTACTGAAAATGCCCCGATACTAAAGGCCGATATTGCCCCTTTACATTTTTAAACAAGTTTGGCTGCCTGCAGTCCCATGCTTGCTGGGGACCTCTGGCAGCCTGATGGGGACCACACCGTAGGTGTCTTTGACAGCGCTGGTCCAGCCCCACATCGCCTCCTTCCCGGCGCCCGCAGAGACAAGCACAGCAAAGGACAGCTCCATGCTGCCTGTACAGAACCTGGCACCTACCCGTTCAGCCCTGGAGAACCTGGGACCCAACCGCAGTGCCCTGGAGATCCCAGCACCCACCCACAGAGCCCTGCAGAGCCCGGAACCCACATGCAGCCCTGTTGAGATCTGCATGCAGCCCTGGTGAGACCCAAATGCAGCCCTGGTGAGACCCAAACGCAGCCCTGGTGAGACCCAAACGCAGCCCTGGTGAGACCGCACACAGTCCTGTATATTTGCTGTATAATCATGGATTGATGGGATCTGTAGTCCTCTATTGCTGATTGCCATTCTCCATTGCTAAATAATCATGGATTGCTGAGATTTGTTGTCCTTTTTAGCTGGATGCCATTCTCCATTGCTGTATAATCGATGATTATACAGCAATAGAGGATGGCAACCGGCTATAGAGGACTACAAATCTTAACAATCAATGATTCCTGGTTGCCATTCTCTATTGCTGAATAATCATGGATTACTGAGATTTGTAGTCCACTATAGTCGGTTGCCATTATCACAGGGCCCCATAGCAAAATGTAGTATGGGGCCCTGTGATTTCTAGTAACGCCCCTTGCAGAGCCCACCTGAGATCCCAAACAGCTCACCTGAGAGTGACCCTGCAAAGCCCACCATAAACTATCTATGGTGGGCTCTGCAGGGTCTCAGGTGGGCTGGTCACACCCCTGCACACCTCTCACCTGTCAGCCACGATTCACTGTCTGCCTCCTCCTGCACAGTGGCTGGTGGACCCCGCCTCCTCTCATATCGCTGGGCCCTGTCTCCTCTTACATCTCTGGGCCCTGCCTCCTCTTACATCACTAGCCCCTCCTCCTCTTACGTCGCCGGGCCCCGCGTCCTCCTTCGCTGCCGACGCTGGGCTCAGCATCCTCCTCCACAGGTGCTGGCTCTCACTGACACAGCAGTGTCTGTGAGGAGGAACAGGTTGTCAGTGATCTAACAGTGACACGTTCCTCCTCACACCAGCCAGTGACAGCCAGCAGCCTGAAATGCCTTTGCGACCCAGGCGGCAAGCATTACATCAGAGGAATGTCCTGGCTGAGCCCCCCTGTGCACTGGGCACCATAGTGGCTGCCTCGGTGTTAATGGGCTTTAAGCTTATGTTGATGGCATCAATTTGACATAAGTTTGAGATGCTTCCAAGATCATTTAGAATTCAACAGGTGCATTTGTCCTGCATTTAACCTCCTTCTGACTTTATTTCACCTGCTTTAAGTGGGGTTGCATTCCCATAGACTTGTATAGCAATGCAAAACTTATATGAAGCAAACTAAAGCCTATCAACATGGGCCCTAAATGTGTTCCTCATCCTGTTATGCCACCTCTGTGTTCTTTTTTTACTGAAATAATTGTCTTTACTTTCAGAGCACTGTAAGTGAATCAACACTGATAGCTTTACTGGCTGCCAGAAAGGATAAAATCCTACAAATGAAAATCTCTGAACCTGATTCTGATGACTCAAGCCTGAACTCCCGCCTCATTGCTTATGCATCTAATCAGGTATTACATTTAAAGCTACAAAGTCTGCCAAGACAGTTCTATAAAAAACAAACTAAAAAAAGACAGTTGTATGTCAGATTTCCCTGACACCCTGCTGTATTTCTGGAATAGAGCCTACTATAAGCAGGTAGAGATCATAACACAGTTTTGTTATCGTGTAATGATAAGCTCGTTGTGTATGGAGTACAAAACTATCAGCAAAGATCAGATTCACAACACTAGTTAGGATAGGAGTTATTTTGCATTCATATTCTTTTCATCTTCCATGATAAAGTAGAGGAGAATAGGCATTATTCACCTGACGTACTGAATTCCAGATGTACTTTTTATGTGAAAAGAATCTCATATGAGGCTATGATTGTTTGCTTCTGAACAATCAGATTACCCTGTGTAGACCTATTTCAAGCCGTGAGGAGATTCAGCCATAACTCCTAGCTTTTGTAATATAGCAGTACAAAGAGTAGAAGTAAGAACCAATGATCAGAAATAATCTAAATGCCCTGATTGCAGTAGACCAGAATATTCCCTTTGCATACTTGATCTGCTTTACTGACTTTTCTCATTAGTTATTGTATCACTATCTCTATTAGAATACAAGTAAATGGTCATCACAGCTAAAGAACAGTTAGCATCAATGTTGATTCCAGCCACCTCTATATTAGGCTTTTATTAAAGCATACCTGTCACTCATGCACTCTTAAGGCCAATATTACAGAGAATAGCTACTAGTAGTCACTTACATTCAACTGGACTTGTTCTGTAATGCTGAAGAATTTTGAAGCCTATTTAACCTGCTTCTTCAGTTCTAATATGTGTCAGGAACATACCCCAGCATTTAAATCCACACCTTAATCCAGTCCCCATGGAATGTAGGCAAGAAGGTCTTGCTCTGAGGAAGGGGTTGGTTACCCCAAAACACGTTGGCACACCCCCCCGTCTGTTGGGGTGCACCTACCACTATACAGCGTTTCTAGACCATCGGACTCTGGTATTGATATGCCTGGTGTCCTTGAGGAATAGTGAGTAGAACCTTTTTACTATTTTATTTCATTATTTTGTCAGTAAACATACTGCACTAAGTTATGTTCACCTTTTGGCGCCTGATCTGTGTTTTGTTGCATGTAGTTACCATGGAATGTATCAACACAGGTGTTGATTGTCCTCCCATTCTAATCTTGGACAATCCGCCTCTGCCTTGACACATTCCATGGTGATTTAAGGTGACTGTATGGATATAAATTTTGGAGTATGTTCCTGATACTCATTAGAACTGAAGAAGTAACTTGGATAAACCTATGAAATGTCTTCAACATAACGGAGCAAATCTCGTTGAATGTGGCTAACTACTGCTAGCCATACCTGGACACATGAGAACCTTCACAGACATTACAAACATTCTAAGGGTTGCCATAAAAACAAGTAGAGAGGCTTCTGCCCTTTTTATACCCTCCAGGACTTCTTTTGTGTGGCTTGGCCAATAGTGTGTAGCTGTGCAAGGACAGTTTACACTTCATCCCCTATTTGAAAGGTGCAGTTGCAAGCATGGGATCTATCTCTTCTCAGCTATACCCAAGACATAAAATAACTTTTTGGGGGCTAAAATTCTGCTTTAACAGTATGGTTATGGTATTAACAAATAATGTGTTGGTTGGTTTGTCAGGCTCATTCTTCAGTGGAAAAAGCTGGCTTAATTTCTCTGGTTAAAGTTCGCTTCTTGCCAGTAGATGAAAGCTTCTCTCTTCGTGGAGAAACATTGCAGGCTGCAGTGGAAGAAGATCGAAAACGTGGACTCGTTCCTGTCTTTGTGAGTCTTTCTAATATCTTATAGAAAGTTGTCTAGGTAGATGTCTCTCTGTTGTTAAGATGCCTGAATGTAGAGTGGACCCACTTTGTAAAATCTATTATACATAGCAGTTACAATCAGGACAGCTTTTCAAGGAATATCATTAGGTTTTCAAACAGGGATTGAATTTTAGAGCATGTTTATGATTTTTATTATCTTCAGCCTTTTATACATTTAGTCAAATATTCCTATTCTGAAATTCTCACCCCCAAAATGGGCTATAAAATACATTTAGTTTAAGCACACAGGTTAGGAAATGTGGATCTGCTTCATTTTGTAGATCCCAATCAAAGACATCCAACATCCTGTAAATACAGGTGAAAGATTACTAAACATTTAGGCCAACAGTGGTCTTTTCTGACCACATTACAGAGGAGGACCTTTATCTTGCACTGTAACTGTTGGCGAATCACATATGGTCAATACTGTTAAGGCTTGCTTCCACTTGATGCAGTTGGAAATGCATGCAATACTATGACAGTACAAAAATAATAAAGCAGAATGCATGAGAACACATTAAGTGATAATGAAGTCTCAAGCAAGAGCTGCTCTATTACCGGGTATTTTGCAGTAATTGTCAAAAGGAATAGGATGATTACTGTCACTTGTCAACCAATAAAATCATTTGCATCAGTAAACCAAAACAGAGCTAGGGGTAACATTGGAATATCAGCACTTATCTTCAACTTCCTGCAAAAACGATTGAGAGAGATTCTCACACACAGCCGGGTAGTTCAAGTAAAACATTTAACCAATTACTATAAATTTGCTTGAAAACAGAGCAAAGCCCATCTAATACCTGGCCTCTTCTTTTGAAGTGTATGTTAAATGTGATGCCTAACACATCAGGTGTATGGAGGCTTGACCCCTGGTTGGAGAAAACTATTGCAGTTAGCTGTCAACAATTGCATGCACAGTGCTCACATACAGTACAAAAAAATGTTGTAACTCCTTGAGGTGAGAGACTGTCTGATTTGTACTAAATAGGTGCCAGATTATTTTGCTAATGTGCTGAATTAATTATTCCTATTATATTATTTATTAGCAAAACATATATTTAGAGACCTAAGCACAATGACAGCTGAAAAAACAAATATTTTATGATTGTTTCATTACAGGTTTGTGCAACGCTGGGTACGACTGGTGTGTGTGCTTTTGATAACCTTGCAGAGTTGGGGCCAGTCTGTAAGTTAGTTTGCTGTTGATGTTAGTTGATGTTAGTTAACTTTGATGTTGCTGCGGGATCAGTAGCAAATGCCTTTTTTTTTAATCCCTAACCTACTTGTATAATACTACACTGACCAGGTGCCAAGGAAGGACTGTGGCTTCACATTGATGCTGCATATGCCGGCACTGCATTTCTCTGTCCTGAGTTCAGGTCACTGTTCAATGGAGTGGACTACGCTGATTCGTTTACATTCAACCCATCTAAGTGGATGATGGTTCACTTTGACTGCACTGCTTTCTGGTGAGTTTGCCATAATATCATAATACATCATAAAGAATCAAGTTATATCATGTTCTCCTTACCAGCGTTCAAGAAACTGAAGGTCGAATAACCTGCCAAGAAGCAAATTTTGTTCTAAGAACTTCATATTACAAATACAGACTGATCAGAATGTTTGTTTTTAATATGCAATGGAGCTAATTCATAAAATCTGAAGAAAAGGAAATGAACACAAAATTGGAGCAGTTGCCAGCAGCAACTAATAAGGCTTCACATTTCATATCATTGACAAAATTAACAAGACTTCTGACTGGCGACTAGTTTTTATGAATCAGCCCCTATGTGTTGAAGACAATGTTATTCCGTGATTGCAAAGTCCTATTGGTGCCCTAAGCCTGCAACACTCAGGCATATACTTAGGAAATATGAGCATTTTCAGCAGTATTGTGTGATTATTTCCCTTTGGACAGCGTATGAATGATTATATTGGTGGGCCAATGGCGCTTCATTAGTGAATAGACAGGTTAACTGGTTGTTTACCTTTTTGGGTAAGAAATATATGTACAGAGACATTACAGTACTCCTTTCTATATACTCAAGGGTAGATTGTCCACAAGCATAAATATTGTATGTATTTGTTGGGTGGGGTGATTAAGATTACCCTGCTGCATAGACATAGAGGAAAGTGAAAAATATCTGTATGTTTATTCTGCCTAGTGTTATTCTGTTTTATTGTAAAACATCTGGACCAAAAACGTACATAACTGCCTACAAACAGTTGGAAGACCAAATATCTTTCTGCAATCACAAGAGTTCACAGTGGCCGAATTTGTGTGTTTGTGGCTATAGAGGGGGAAGAAAGCGCATGGCATTGCTGTGATCAGCTGATGTGGGCAACTGATTGCTGATGTACCCCTCCCCCCCATGGTAAGCCAACATTAGCTTCATCCTCTCCAGTCCCTACCATTTCCTTCTATTCATGTACACTTCACAGCTGAGTAGAGCTCTTCAGACTTAGTGCACTGATGGTAGATGGATATATATTCCACTGACATCTGAAGAAAGATTAGATGACATTAGGGTGGCACACATTTTAACTGTTTGCTCAGACAAACATCACATGACCCTTCCTTTGTTCTGGCAGGGTGAGAGATAAATATAAGCTGCAGCAAACCTTCAGCGTTGATCCCATCTACCTCCGACATGCCAACAGTGGAGCTGCAACTGATTTCATGGTAAGCATTTTTTTCCAGTGGCATAAAAGGCATAATCAGGCTATACAGATTTTCAAAAGTGATTGTAAATTTCAGCAACCAGTGTCAAATTTTAACTTCACACAATACTACATTTTAGGTGTGGAATTATGTAATTATTGCTATGTGTGCTCAAACTGGTCACATGGTTGGGTTGGTCTAAGGCGCGAATATAGTTCCCAACCCTGTTATCCTACAGATATAGATTGTTTTGGCAGAAGAATATTAGCTCATCTATTTTTAATACAATGAAGTCGTTGTTATTAAGATGGTCACTAGAAGTGGTAGCATGTGAATACTAAATATGCCACATAATCTGCAACATGGCAAGTGAAGAGCCACAGCAACCAATGAGATGCTTGAAAGCTAATAGCTGCATATATTTTGATGCCAACATCAAAGTTACATGAATCTTTATTAGTTACAAACCACTAACATTTTAGTTGTTTAGGCATATTTTTGTGTTTTTTTTCTTTTGTCAACTCTTCTTTTATTTTTTAACACTGGAGCATTGGCAGATTCCTCTAAGTCGACGCTTCCGCTCCCTAAAGCTCTGGTTTGTGATTCGTTCCTTTGGAATAAAGAACCTTCAGGCACACATCAGGCATGTGAGTATGAATAGCAAACTGACCTTTGCTTTTATCAGTCTGTCAGACAATATAATACATACAAATCCATTAGAAATCTTCCGTAGAATGATAAATAAAGATGTTATGAATAGAGCCAGGAGTTTCAGAGCCAACTGGTTGTCAGAAAGAAATATAATATTTTTCTCTTATACTACCTACTTATCAAATACACACAACAAAAACCTGTTCTGGAAGAGGTGGCACTATAGAGTGTTTATATGATTAATACTTGTTGTTGCTGTTGTACATTATAACAGCTTATTATAGGCAACAAATAAGAAAGGGCCTGGGCTGGTATAGATGGCATTCGTTTGACATCAAGTTTGAGATGTTCCTGGAATCATTTATAATTATTTGGCAGGTGCATTTGCTCTGCAGGTGACCTTGTTCTAACCTGCATTTGACCTGCTTCAAGTGGATCTTGCTTTCCCATAGACTGGAATGGGTGTGCAAAACTTGCTTGAAGGGAACAAAAGCCCACTGACATACTGTAGGCCCTAATACAAATTGCTACACATTCTCATTCAATTGTAATGACACCAATCACCACAAGATGGTGCCAGATAAAAACAAACATTCTATCAAATGTACACATGAATTAATAGTTTCTCTGAACCTGGCTTGCATACTATTTCTCAGGCAATTATTTTGTTCACATTAAAGCTGAATAGGTTAATCTGCACTGCCTCAGAACATATAAATGTCGCCTTGCCTGTGAGGGATCTCACACAAATAAACTGAAATAAACTGAAATAAACAGAAATTTGGTGGATTTCTAAAGGATACTGCATTTTGCATGTCCTCATTGTTCTGCACTGATTATGCTGATATTTGCACTCTTTATACATATATACATGTCTTTCTCTCTTCAGTTTTGTTAAAAAAGACCAGTCGCTGTTGTGCTCTCTCCTTTTGCAGGGTGACTGATCTTGTATCCGTCCCTCCTATAGTTTTCTGCAGGCAGCCTGTAGTGGATGGACTTGTTGCCTCTTATCCATGTAGTGGATGGACTACCACTCATCCATGTAGTGGATGGACTGCCTCTCATGCCTGTAGTGGATGGACTGCCTGTCATGCCTGTAGTGGATTTAGTGGATGGCCTGCCTCTCATCAATGTAGTGGATGGCCTGCCTCTCATCAATATAGTGGATGGCCTGCCTCTCATCAATATAGTGGATGGCCTGCCTCTCATCCATGTAGTGAATGGACTGCCTCTCATCCATGTAGTGAATGGACTGCCTCTCATCAATATAGTGGATGGACTGCCTCCCATCCGTGTAGTGGATGGACTGCCTCTCATCCCTATAGTGGATGGACTGCCTCTCATCCCTGTAGTGGATGGACTGCCTCTCATCCATGTAGTGGATGGACTGCCTCTCATTCAGTAGTGGATGGACTGCCTCTCATTCAGTAGTGGATGGCCTGCCTCTCATCCATGTAGTGGATGGACTGCTTCTCATCCAGTAGTGGAAGGAGTGCCTCTCAACCATGTAGTGGATGGACTGCCTCTCATCAATATAGTGGATGGACTGTCTCTTATCCTTGTAATAGAAGGACCTGCTGGGCCCGTCCCACAGGTCTGCTCTCTGCAGAGGTTATGTGCAGCACAGATATGACATCACTGTTACTTTTACATTGCAATGTCTGAGTTTGGAAAGGCATTTGATGTACACAAACCGGATTTATATCCTTTGTGGCCATTGAGGAATTTGAATGAAAGATTTTGAATAATATACCTAGGCAGCCAAATTATAGTTTTAATTATAAATTGTACAATACATCTGTATTTATGGTTTCAGGGGACTGAGATGGCCAAATTCTTTGAATCTTTGGTAAAAGCTGACCAGCTGTTTGAAGTTCCTGCTAAGCGTCAGCTCGGCCTTGTTGTCTTCCGCCTTAAGGTAAAGGAATCAGTGATTGTAGTGTTTCATTAAGCACTTGACAATAAACATATACTGACCAGGCCTGGATTAACTTAATTTTTTGTCTGTAATACAGGGCCCAAATGTTCTGACAGAACAAGTGCTTGCAGAACTCACCAAGTCAGGAAACATGTTCCTTGTACCAGCCACAGTCAATGACAAGTTGATTATTCGCTTCACCGTCACCTCTCAGTTTACCACTCGGGAAGACATTCAACGTGACTGGAATCTTATTAGAGAAGCTGCAATAAATGTCACCAATCAGCATCACAGTGCCATCCCAAGTGATTGCCACAAGTTACATGGAGAGACAACTGTGGAAGAGGACCAGAAGATCATTGTACAGCCCAAACATGGAGATTTAAACCCTAAAGATTGGGTTGAGCAGATGTCAGAAGATGATTTGGATCCTTTCGATGACTGCTTCCCAGAGAGCGTTCCAGTGGCTAGCAAACATAGACCAATGTTCTTTAAGTATCGATACTGGTCTTCTCATGATAAGAAAAAGACTGCCCGATCTCTTAGCTGTAACAGTGTTCCTGTTCATAATAATCCTAGAGAGAAATTCACTGATAAGATTGTGCCCCAATTTGAACTTCAGAAAGATGGTAGCATTCTTTCCAAGCTACCAGGAAAGGTCATGATTTTAGAGAAAAATGCTTTTAAGAAGTTAATCAAGTTCTACAGTATGCCCAGCTTCCCAGAAATTAGCATTCAATGTGGCCTCAAACTGCCCTGTTGCCCTCTACAAGCCCTCGTGTAGCATGCCTGCAGACCTCCAGTGGCTTAGTATTAAATGTGTCTGTTGCCTATACACGAGCCTGCCAATTTATACGTTGGGTTCAAACTCAAACTATTGATTTATCGCTAAAAATAAGCTGATTTTCTGTTTTACATACTGGGCCAACCCGGCTTAGGTTCTTTATGAACCAAGATTTATTTACCCTGTATTTAAAATTCCAGAATTACCATTTTCCTTCCCACTCGTCTATCCATTGGAGAGAGCGGTGAAGGAAGACAAACAGTGAATGATACTAATACTGCTAATAGTTAACTTCAGCATATGCTGAGGTCATTGAAGACATTCTCAGTATACTGGTAGAATACTGGTGGAAGGTGGCAATCTTAATCTTTTTACTTATTGTCTTTTGCCTCTCTGCTTGTTTTGGAGGCTGCAGCTGGTGAGATACAATAAGTGAAGTCAGTAAGTGACCACCATCACTGCAGACTCCTACCTGAGTCAAGAGGTTTTTCTTTGCTCATGGTGGGAACACCCCTCATTAATATACAAGATGGCTGATGACACCAGCATGAATAGGCTATAGGTACATTTTAGCTTGAATATATACAAAACTGGAAGAACTGGCATTTTAGTGTAGTGTAGAGAAGCTACTGCACATTTAATAAGCACCAATAAATACAATCTTAATATGCAATCTAATTTATTACCATATCTCCTATGAGGTTTTATTAAACATGTACATTGGTATATATTTATAATATAACTGGTTACAATATACCTAATGTCCAAACCAGTTTGCATGTACCTTGGTACTGCTTTGCAGTCATGTGCCTACGTAGCACTGAAGATTCACGTAGATAAGCATTTAAAGTTTTTTCATTTTGCCAAAAGTAAAATAATCATCATACTTTACTGCTCTCATTTTCAGCAGTACAACATACTTGCCTTACAAACGGCATCTATCTACTAACTTCAATAAACCTTCATATGTTCCTGAAATCACATATTATGTACTCCCTATTTTCTGTTCAAGTTTGAAAGAACCAAATTTATGACTAATTTCAAGAAATAAAAGCAAAAATAAAAATTTAGCACTTTCTACGGTGACTATATTGTATTTTGTTTTTACTGAAGGGACAATTATAACTTTTAAATGTTATTCTTCCCTCATAGATTGTTAGAACCATGTTATGCAGGGCATTGAGAGAGTTTCATTGCTTGTAGAGAGTTATATGAAAATATGAGATACAGAAAGAGAGGTAGATTGGTGGGCAGTTATTGCAACAGACTAACATAACCCAGTGGGCAGTTGCTCCTTACTCAATAAGAGACAGCCTCAATCTTGCCAGGGGGAAGTTGCTACTAACTTAATGAAGTCAGGATTTAAGCTCCTGTGGCTTAAAACAGTTAGATGTGCATTAGGTTTAAGGACTGAAACACTGATTGCGCTTCAGCCTGTGACTTCCCAGGCACAAGGCAATGGGTTTAGCCAGAGAAGCTGTAGGACACAGAGTAAGGGAAGGAATTATTTAACTCTGTCTAACCTTAATAAGAGGCAGCATCAACTTGGCAGCATTGAGGCATGTGTGCAGAGTTTCCAGGCCTGTAATGTTAGTTGCATGAATAGTTTGGATCAGTGGTTTAAATTCCTCCTTTTGTAGAGTTGTTTAAACCAAAGGTGGTGATAGGGCTTGATGAGAAGGCCAAGGAAGCAGTAGACCTCCATTGATTTTCTTTCCCTGCCAACAAGAAATTATTTAGAACCTGGAGGGATCTTTTTCACTGGAAGTTGGCATTTAATCCCACCCAGTGCCTTCAAATGTCCTACTCTGCTAGGTTAATCTGAACGTTTGCTGAAAGCATTGAGTACAAAGTGTCATAAAACATCTAAAGTAATCTTTCATCACAATAATTCCCTTTTTAATATGCAGCATTATAAATGCTTACATGAGTGAGGGAAGATAATGTATATGTTTCTGGTGACAGCATTGAAAGAATAGTCAGATGGAACTACACAAAGGTTGCATGAAACAAGAGCTTTAGAAACTTGGCAATTTATTTCCTAAAAATAACTACTTTCATCTGCACCTCCCCAAGAATATATTTTCCCCAATGACCCTGTTTATCGTTCTATATTTAGAATTACCTTCAGTTTAGTGTGTATTATTGTGCGTTTTTCACATTGGTGTTTGTTATGGTAGGACAAAGTCTCTGTTGCATTGGGAAGGAGCCAGGAATAAATTAATTCCAGAGGGATCTTTAAAATGCACCAGAGGATAGTTTATGCTTTGTTAGAAATAAAAATGCACAACAGGGCTGAGCAGCACAGCGTAAATAAAGTGCAATAATCATCAACTTCCCCAATCATACCATATATACATATTTATAAAAGGGCTGAAAATTACAAGGTCAATACACTCCCACAAGATATAAACTTGTTTTTCACCTTAAAACAAAGTTCACCACCGTCTGTTTCTTGAAAATAAAATACTTAAACAAGAAAAAGTCAAGCTATTCTCAAACCAATTAAATTAGAGGGTTATTTTTTTCAAGAGCTGGTTAGCAAATCAAGGATATCACCTGATTGGATGCCAGGCCACCCAACAGCCCTTTTGCTGTTTTGATCAAGGTTTGAATAAGGAATCTAAGGAAGCTTTTATGTGCTGCCTCAATGAAAGAAAAAGCTGAGTTGCCAAATCATGATTACTGCTTAAGGATCATTCACATCACATCCAGTGCGTTCCTGCACAGTTAGTTGCCGGAACGCACTGGATCGTATAAATAAAGGCTCCTGCGCTCTGGGACAGGAGAGGACGTGGATGTGCCATTCATGTCAATGGCACCACAGCTACAACTCCCGGCCGCAGTGTGATCACTGACACCAGAATGCACGGTACAGAAATGTCCGGTGCGGTGCAATCATAATTTTTTTTGTCTGTGGCCAAAACAAAAAGGCAGAGACTGAAGATCTAGTCACCAGTATTGCCTGTGGTCTCCCTGTAACTAATCCTTTACCCACTACCGACTTAGGATGCCTTATTTTACACTATTAGGGTTATTCACTAAGCTGCCGTTCGGCTATTCACTACGGCTCAGTATGGCTGATTTGAGCTGTACATTGGCTGCCTTCGGCTGCACTTTTGTCAGCCGAACATGCTCTGCATGTTCGGCTGAGCCGAAGTGCAGAAGGACTTCGACTCAGCCGATCCAACATCTGGATCGGCTGAGCCGAATCTCCGCCAGCTCACTCGTTCGCATAGGGGCCGAATGGCAGTGAGTGAATAGCCAAATGCCACTAAGCGGCGTTCTGCTCGGTACCTCCGTGGTACCGAGCAGAATAGCAAATAGTGAAAAAAGTTGAAAAAAATGTTTCAAAATATAAATAAAAAATAAATTACAAAAAAGAAAAAACAATTTCCGGCCAATAGGAGACAGTTTGGCGGAGCTAGCTGTCCCTGCTAGCTCTGCCCAACTGTCTCCTATTGGCCGGCACCTGCTAGAGTCTTCTAGCAGGTCCCAGCCAATGGATGACAACTGGGTGGAGCCAGCCGTGACGTCACGGCCGGCTCCACCCAGTTGTTATTGTTTAATGGCAGATCAGCGTCCACAGGTCATTTGGGGACGCTGCTCTGTCATTACAACTGGGCAAAGCCAGCCTTGAATCGGCCGTTCGGCTGTCACTTCGGCTCAGTCGAGCCGGAGCATATGTCTTCGGCTCAGCTGGGCTGCTATGCCTAGGGTTGCCACCTGTCCAGGATTCACCTGGACAGTTCGGGTTTTGAATGCTGTGTCCGGGTTTCAAGGCAGCTGAAACCCGGACACGAGATGTCAGGCAGACAGGGGCAACCAAAATTCAGATAGGGGCTACTGGCCCCCCCACTGAAAATAGTGTCAACTGTGATATTTACATATTAATGGGTGATTCTATTTACATACGAATAAGCCGCAGCTCATTCTCCCAAAAACATTTCTGTGCGTCACTAGAGCGTTCGGGTTTCGATGGAAGAAAAGGTGGCAACCCTAGCTATGCCGCCTTCGGGAGCTGTACGGGCTATAGTGAATAGTGTGTACAGCAGCCCTTCTGTTCGACTTAACCGAAGGGCTCCCGCAACCGAAGCTAGCCGAAGGATCAGCCGAAGCTGCTGCTGGATCCTTTGGCAGCGCTGTGAACAGACACCTATGTCTCTGTGCAGAGGTGGAAATCTTGGTAGAGGAAGGTACTTCAAACCAGAACCTCCAGCAAGGAGAACAGTGAGCAGCACATTAGTGATATCTCCAAATCTCAAGAGAGTAGAAATCAGAGGCAGCGGTGCCTTATCTCCCACACTACAGACATATAGCTATTAGATTACACAAGAGAACTACCTGGACACCCTCACATACTGTACCAGAAAGCACTCTGCCATTTTCAGAAGGAATTCAAGACAAAGGGTAGACTTTTCAAGATGCTTAGGCACAGGGAGAAAATAACTAGCTCTGTTTGTCTTGGTGCCAAATTTTCACTGGGCTAGAAAGTGTTGGGAAATCTAAACTTTTAAGCTGAAAAGGGTATCCCCTCACTTTGGATAGATGTTCCCCTTACTTCCTGTTGTCTTCGGCTCAGAAATTGAAGGAGAATTTACCAAAAGGAAAATACTAGTAGAGTAGAGTAGCATGGTGCAGTGCAATTGGTATAGAATGTAGGTTTTAATTGTATTCTCCTGAATGCATAGGTTCTTTTTTTGCTTGCCTTCACCTACAGCTGTGATAGCATGCCCATTTATTTTATTGTACGTTATTTGTACTGTATCTATGGAGAAGCAGTGTTGTCACTCACGGGCAGGACAACATAACACTTCCCTCCTTAGTCTTCTACATAACATAGAGGGTGGGGGTGATTTGGTTTACAGATGACAGCAAGGAATACTGATAACAATGTTTGAGATTTCAGCTTACTTCATACTAAGTTACAAGGACACAGTACGATCAATATGTATTTTCTGTACTTGCAGGAAAAAAAAACTAATGCAGCCACCACACCTAAGGGTTGGCAGGCAGAGATCTATTACAGCTTATTGTTACACAATAGTGGAGGACTCAGTTGCAAGGTCATATTCCTTGAGTTTAGAGTGCCTAGGGGGGCATTGACGGTCATGATTTTCATAGGAAGCCCATTGTATATAACAACTATTTCTATTGATTGTAATATTCTGTACATCAAGCATTCATATGCAGTAAAAGCAAATACTGAGGATTTAGACATTTTTTATAATCACATGCTAAATGAAACTTTGGGCACGTTGCTGTCGTGTTGCCAGAATTCATTTCCACTTTTATGACAAATGTGAAATGTATTTGTTTCTCAAGGATCTGCTCCAAAGGTAACTACGTGGTGGACTTTGATTGTTTGCTTACCTTTCACACACTGCCCTAGGTTGCAGTCTTGGTAATGATCAGTAAGCTGTGCAGTAAATACATGTCACAAAGGTTTTTATTCATCTTTCTAACCAAGCTGCTGAAAGTGGCTGTATAAAATTGCTGCGGGTTGCCATTTACTTCAGTAATTGCTAGATATCCTTTAAAAAAGCCATACGGTGTCTTAATGTAAAGAATGATGAGATAAATATGCATTATGTTTTCCTAGGACGGGGTGAGTTCATTATTCTAGATGACCCTAGAATTACAATTGTCCAGGAAATTAGAAGATGGCAGCTTCAGCTCTGGATGGGAATCTCAAATAGCACAGTTTAGAGTCAATCTGACAGGTTTACTTTAAACTGACTGATCATCCAACTGCAGTAAAGACGTGAAACAGAAAACGGTCTGAAAATAGTCATAATCCAAGCGAGCGATCCCATTACTGGTATCACCTTTCCTAAAGCTTAATTCCTGACTAGAAGAACCTGTTGGATTTCATGAAAGTATTTTGGTGTATTGTGTGTAAGAATACCTTGGCTTATTAATAAAGCTGTGCAAAGTACATTTAAGATGTGTCAAGTTTGGTAACTTACAGCAACCAAATACAGTAGATTCCAGCTTACTGTAGCTAGAACAGGAATACAGTCAATCTGAATGACTGCTATGTGTTGCTACACTTTTCCTTATTAAATATACCTGATTGTAAAGCAACCATGTTAATGCATCAAAATATCAACTTTTTGCCACCTGAGGCCGGGGGTGCATGCACTCAGTGGGGGGTTGCTGACTGCCAAGAGCTGGGCATCCCAGGTTGCTAAGAGCTGGAAGGGAAGATGTGTATGTCTCTTACACATCTACACATCTCCCTAGCTGGCTCTTAGCAACCTGGAAACGTTTAGGACAGAAAGGCAGCAGCAGACACACTGCAAACATTGTGCAGAAGATCAGCAATGGCACTCTGCCCCTCCCCCCTCCCCCGACACTAAGAGATGCTGCCTAAGGCAACAGCTTCAGGCTGCCTCGTTATAGGGATGGCCCTGACTGTTGCCTCATCCAAACCTAAAGACAAAGAATGGCCTTGGTCTTGGTATGACATGTGGCCTCTTGGCACTTACTGTGTGACTTTACGGCCCCTGCAGACAGTAGCTCTGTGTTTTCCTCACATAACGGCGTACTCAGATGAGTGGAGGAAAAACATTGTTTAGACGGGTCCTAGTAATCAAATGGCTTGGATTATTTCTGTCATCTTATTTTTTCTGTGCTCTCCATCACTTTCCTCTTTTTTCACCTGATATTTTCTAATAGATTTTGGTGAATTAAGCATGTCCCCAATCTCCAACAACCCCTATAACATGTTGCAGACTTTGGCCATCTCCTGCAGAATGTCTGCAGTCTCTTACCATCTCTTGTAGTGTGCTGGTAGTCTTTAATTATCTCCTGCAGCATATCTGGAGTCTCTGTCCATCTCCCATAGCATGCATACAGTCATGCAGTCTCTGACCATCTATTGTAGTAAGCCCATAGTCTTTGACCATCTTTTGCAGCATATCTGGACCCTTTGATCTTTGCTGCACCTTTGCTGTCTCTGACGGCTTTCTGCAGCTTTACGTTCACTCAATATTATATGTGGCCCTTTGGTAATTTCAGGGGCAGCACATGACGCCCCCTATACCAATTGAGTTGAAAACCAGTGGTATATGGTTTGAACTGTAACAAACTTACTGGGTAAGAGGTATTCATCTCTGTGCTCAAAAACATTCTTTAAAGGAGAACTATGAGGTGAGTGCTTCTTAGTCTCAGTGTCACAGGTCGGCTAGAACTATGAGGTGAGTGCTTCTTACTCACCTCATAGTTCTAGCCGACCTGTGACACTGAGACTGTCACAGGTCGGCTCAGTAGATCGGGAGGTGAGCGAACACATACCGGCGTTCGCTCACCTCTCGATCCTGTCACGGCTCTCTGCCATAACAGGGGAGGGGCTGGATTCCCCTCTCCCCGCTCCGATCTGCCAGCGCTGACTGGCGGAACGGATGGGGGAGGGGGTGGGTACAGCTAGATAGGCAGAGCCAGCTGTCACTCACGCAGCTGGGCGGATCCCGTCATCTAAGTCGTGATCCGCTCCGGCTGCGGCGTCTCAGTATACCGCGAGCTACAGCTCGCGTTATACTGAGCCTAGGGTGACGGGAGGACGCTAGTTTGTGTCCTCCCGTTACCCTAAGGAGAACTATGGGGAAAAGCCTTAACCCCATAGTTCTCCTTTAATTTGCATTATCAACAACATTGACTCATTGGAAAAAAAAAGCAGTCTGATAACTCTTTGTAATTAATACTTGTTATGATGTTATTCAGTCTATCAATATGTTATTTGTCTTCGTTTATGTTTTTCTCTGATATAGAAGTTTGGCTAAGCTTGCCAGAAAAAGTGACGTGATGGGGCTGTGACATTCCGGAACACTGCCAGGGGAGCCTTTCATGGTTACCTTTTTCTTCACATAATCTTAAAAAATACTTGCTGTCCCTGTTCAAGCAACCCTGGCAGTATTCTAGTTTGCCTCCACCAAGGGCCGGATTTCCCACAAGGCCAACCAAGGCCCGGCCTCGGGGCAGCAGGAAAACGAGGGGCAGCAGGAGTGTGGAATTCCCACCTCCCAATGCCTAGGACATGCAGCTCCGGGGGCCGGACGGGTAGTTGTTTTCTACATTTAGCCCTGCTTTGGGCAAGCAGGGCTAAATGTACTGCGTTGGGGGGTTGGCGTGTAGGGGGGCGCATTGAGGAAACCGGCCTTGGGGCAGCAGAGAGCGTAAATCCAGCCCTGCCTCCACCCGTTAATGGCACTTTAGCTGGACAGCTTGGCCTACATGTATATATGGTAAAAAATAATAAGGTGTGTGGAAAAAAAATGAAATTATTTACTATCATTAACTGCATAAGGTTCACAGGATTCAACATTTTTAGTGATAGCAGACCTTGTGATGCCAGCAATATCCAAACCTTACAGATGCAGTGGCAGTTTAAACCTTCTGACTCTTTTCTAACTGATATTCCTGTAAAGTGTAATGCTGAAGATATAACAGAATATTTCAAAGGTACTAGGAGGAGTCTCTTGTTATCCTTTAGGATGGGCCCAACTTGATTTGTAGGTAGCTCATTGGTTAGGCTGGCAGCTCAAAGATGTAGTCTCCAAAAGGAGATGCTAGAAGCTACTCAGGAGCAGAAAGCAGAAGAGCTCCAGACCAAAATAGATGATAGAGTCCATAAAGAAGTTTAATATATGTGTTGATCAAACAGCCAATGTGTTATTTTGGGGGACAACCCCCTTCCCAGGGCTCTTCTGTTTTCTGTCAACACATTAGTTTCTTTAACCGAGCCTGCAATCTTTATATGCTGCCTTCTACTTCTTGTATGTTTTGTAATTTAAGAAAGGATGGCATGGGAACTGTGACAGAAAACTGCTTGTCAGATAATCTTGTGGTTCACTTCTTATCTGGGGCTCAGTGTGTGACAATCATGTTACTAATAATGTTGGTAACAATGTTAGCAGTAATAACATTTTTACATTTCTGTACAAATTGCGCATACTTGCATGAATCTCGCCCACCACTATAATCTGCTGGCTTGTTCTTCAGTAGCGCTCCTCTGAAAATAGATACACCCTTGAGGTAGAAGATTGGTGAAGGTTATTTGCTAAAGGAGAAATTCTGAGCTTATTTTTAACTCCCTCTGGATTGGAACACTGGGAACTCTTTAGTGAATTCCTTTAGTGTATCAGCCCCTTAATGTTATAAAATCCCATGGGCATATTGTGCAGGCCACCGATGTAGTCTACCTGTAGGAATATACTTAGGCTTGATGTTGCAGGAGCGTGAAATCCACTCTGCAATACCCAGCGCATAAACAGTGGTTCATTTTTCATCACGCACTTCATTAAAGGGCAAGCAGTATCATCTTCTGTAATGTATTACAAAGATTGCTCTAAATGAGCAGTGCTGTGTATTGCAGCTGTATTACAACACATACCGCTCCTGTTGTTTATTTTTGAAACTGATGTCGGGGGTCAGAGCGTACAAATTGGCCCCAGCGGGGCACTAATGGCACCCCGGAGGAATTGATGTTGTTACTTAGTTACCCTCTTAAGAATGGACAAATACATACTATTAATCTTTTTTTAATGCAAAATAAACTAGTTGCAGTGTCAATACCCAGCGTAAGACAGATGCACAGTAACCAAAGGCATGCTGCAGTCTTACAATTTTATTTTTTTATTTTTAATGTCTGCATATATGGTCTGAGTCATGGGCACGTATTTCTTTTCCCTCTCATCCAGGAAATAAATAGGGTCAATGATTGTGGATGGATCGAAGCCTTGTTTCACAAGCTCCACCTTGCGTTGTTTAAAAGTTCCTGTGATCTCCAGTTCATCCTAATCAAACAAAAACAAATAATATTTTAGTATTCCAGGAACTTTGTTTAATGTATATATGAGGTATAATATATACAGTGTATGGTGAAACAGACCCATTTAGGTCATGTCCGCCAAGTTTACAAAATAATATTACTGGTTATTGTAGTGTGCACAATGTACTTATGCTTGTTCTTAAATCAGTTCCTTTATGCCTAGGATGGGTGCGGAATATTAGGTCCAGGCTGTATACAGGGCTTTGATAGTTTTCCAGGTTAGCCTTAAATCATTGCCCTTCCTGGTGCTTGGACCAGCCCATGCATTTAAACTGTGACCAGTAAACCGTGGTCTTTGCTCGAGGGGTGGGGCTTAATGTTACCTTTATGAGAAATTAAGGTCCTATATATGGCCTGGGCCTAGGATCCAGGATCCTACCTAGGCACAAAAGAAGTATGGCATAGACCAAAGTCCAAAATACCTGTTTTATGTGTGGCTTTAGCACACAGTTGACAATAATAGTTAGCTTGTTGTGGCCTTGTCAATAGTCATCAACATATACTGTCACCTGCATGCTGTAATTACAAATAATAAAAGTATTTTGTCCCTTGGACATGCTGCTATCTTCTACAACCTTGAAGTGGAATGCAAAGAAGAGTACCAGTAATGCTAGTTCATATGCTTAAGTTGTTGATACAGTGGGACAGACTGTCACAGGATGAAAGCAGTAGCAACTCTGTATATGACTTGCACTGCTAGGGTCCCAGGCTCAGTTCTAAGCAAGTTACTATGTGTATTATATTTCATGTTCTGGGTTAAATGATGCCTAGCATGTTCCAACCTATGCCCGGGAGCTCAAGGTGTCAAGGCTCTACCCTGGATGCACAGGAGAATGCCGCAGAGAGTGATGCTATGACGTTACATGGTGCTGCTCTCTGACACATTTAGGATCCACCAACTACTGGAGGACAAAGTAGCTGACGAGGGACTGTGATGTCCAGAGACTGAACCAAACACACCTTGAAAAAAGTTATTTATACAGAATTTGTTTTTTAAAGGGTTGGGGGGTGCTCCAAAAAGGGGGAGGGGCAATGGAGAATGGGGAGCCTGAGTTCAGTTTTAAATAGCTTCCCTAGCACAAGAGTGACTGTAAGTCTGACCAGGGAAATTATTATAAGGTACTATGAAAGTGAATGATGTGAATATACTCAGTTAAGTACTGTATTAAGCCGACATTATATCAATACAGGTAATACCTACAATAGAGCTAAGGTAACCCGCATCCCCAACTTTTATGATTTGGTAGGATGCCACATTAATTTATAGTAATTATGCCAGTAAATTTAAATTCTGACAATAGCAGGTTTTATCCTACAGAATAAAAAGAAGTCTTACCTGGATCCTGATAAAGCGAGGTCTTGCATAGTTTGGAAGAAAGTCTCGAACATGTGCATATAACTTTCTACCATCAAAGGTCTCATATTTCCTCATCTTGAGTGTGGCCATTCCAATCCGTCCTTCATGATCTGTTAAAGAAATCACAAGACAATTCAGATTACTTTTGTTCAAGATATTGGTTGCAGCAGGCCTGAGAAACATCAACATGTACTGTATGAATTGCTGCAAAGCTTCCTATCAGTAAAACCAATCTCCAGTATTACCACTGTTAATGTCAAGTACTATGGCAGTTTTGATAAGGTACCAGCAGAAAAACAAGCTGTATTTTTCCTGGAAAAGTTGAGCTTTCCATATAATTTGAGTGGCCTTTATATTGTCTAATTGTTCTGACATGCTGCTTTTAGTGACTGTTTCTTCTGATTAGGCATTTCAACCTATTCTTAGACTAAAGTGTCCACAGTTGTCACAGGTTTACTTTAGCATCCTTTAAATAATGAAAAATCACCATAATAGAGGTAATATATCTTTGGAAATACTTAAACAGGTTTGAGAAACATTAAAAGCCATCACTCAGTTTTTTCACATACTTTATTTATTAGCATTTGTGATCACACATCCACATTTAGTATATACACATTAGTTTTTATATAGATTGTGTTCATTTAATTGTATTATCACCTTTCACCACATCGACTTATATAAACTATTGTTTTGATGATATATCACGGACAAACCAAATAGATTTTGAACCGAGCGCAACATACAAGCCTTCTATTTTACATCTATACATACATTGTTGCGGCTGGTGCCGACATACCTACTTCCAGCGCAAACTATTTTGTTTAATAGGTTTGAGAAACAATGTAGGTAATTTATAAAAGTTAAAAGGAAAGAAGAAGTGCCGGTGCTCCCACAGAACCCAGGATGATTTTTAGCCTGAAACCCAAAAAAATGGCATCTGGAATATAATTGGCTACTACAATAGAACAGACACTTTTACTGTTTAGTACATTAGACTGAGATCAGTTTTGCCACAGATTACACTTTTTGTAAAAAATGGTCTTTGATTATATTTTGGAGAGCTGCCCATTTGCACATTAGCTATAACGCACCCGGCAACATAAACCACAAAAATCAAGTGCATTGCATGGTTTAGCATCACATTACATGGAAGGCTTCTAATGAGCAACACATGAACTGTGCCATAGGAATCTAGTCCTTGTCTTTATTTTGTTTGGTGTTCAAATCCCCAGGAGAAGGAAGGGCGAATTATATCAAATTCCACCTAAGGCTGTTGGCCACAATACCACTTACAGGTGTGATATATCTCTGTTAGTATTTTGTAAATTAGTATGGGAAATAAACATCTTGTAATTCTGATTAAAAGAGTACTATGGCCCAACCTTTTTTTGCCATAGTTCTCTTTAGGGTCAGCGGAGGACATATACTAATGTCCTGCGGTGACCCAAAACTCAGTATATATGCTGAGAGCGTAAAGCTGCGCCGCAGCTGGGATGTATCCTGACAATACTGTTGAGATCCGCCCCGCTGGCCCTTCCACTGTGCCCGCCCCCTCCCCTGTTCGTTCCTCCAGTCAGTGCTGGAGGAATTGAGAGCGTAGGGGGGGAATCCCTGCGGGGAGATAATTGGGAACAGAGCGATCGGTAGTATGTTATTGCCCAGTTCCCAATCAATAGAGCCGACGTGTGACAGCTTCAGTGTCTCACATCAAATCTAATTATGGGGATGAGTGTAAGCCACTCACCTCATAATTCTCCTTTACCATAAACTCGGCAGAAAAGGAAAGTGGTCCTTCATAAACTGTAATTGTAGGGTTGTCCATGTAGCATAAAGAACTGGATGATCAACCAAGAGTCAGTTGGAAAGCAAGCCTGGTGCCCAGAATTTGCCGTTCTAGCTATGTCATCCTATGTATTCCTTTGGTGGAAAACAATAAACTTTTTTTTTTATAATGGAAATAACAATCACAGAAAAACAGTGATCAATCCCCTATTATTGTTCAAGTTTTAAGTGTTAAATATAAGTTATTAGCTTTGAAATCTAGTATTTCAATGCTCACTGCACTAGCTTAGGCCAAAACTAAAAACATAAATATATACACAGAATAATCATCAATGACACGTAGTAAAATAAGTAGGCATCTTTCTTACTTGGAACAGGCACTCCATAAACATTAACTTCTTCTATAAAAGTCATAAGACTCAAAATATCAGCCACCTCAGTGGTAGCAACATTTTCTCCTTTCCACCTGAAATGAACATAAAATGAGATAAAGTTTTTTACATTTGGGTGCTTTAGACACATAACCCAATGCATGAGACAGGTGTTTTCGGAAAAACCTTTGGGAGCCTTGGAAAGCATGTTACAGGTCAGAATGCTGTGTCTCTACTATAATCAAACCAATCTAATCTCTGCTACTGACAGGGGTTTATTTGCTCGGGAAAACAAATATACTTAGGAAGAAATGGCCTGAAACACTTGCTGTTTCTACAGACTCTGCTTGCTGTGACTAGTGCTAAGTCTAGCTCTAGCTCAATAAAGATTCTATATAATATATAACATTCTCTAATAGGGAAATTCCTGAGGGCTCCTTTTTCTAATATAGGAGGTTGGACAAACATTAAAAGATCTCTGAAGAAGGAAAGGTTTTATATCATTGCTCAACAGATTGATGCATTTTCTGCCCACACCAAGAGTGGCAGATGGGCTCATGATGTTCTACCCACACCTACAATGGCAAAAGGGTTTATTTTCTACCAAGACCTAGAGTGGCAGCTGGGTTGATTTTTTGCCCAGGCCTAGAATGATAGTTGGATTAATTTTCTACCCACACCCAAAAAGGTAGCTGTGGTCATTTTCATCCTGTACGTAGAATGGCAGTTGTGTTCATTTTCTGACAAGGCTTAGAGTGGCAGCTGGGTTCCTTTCCTGCCCAAGCCTAGAAAGACAACTAGGTTAATTTCCTGCCCAGGCTTGGAATGGCAGCTGGGTTCATTTTCTGCCCAGTCCTAGAGTGGCAGCTAGGTTCATTTTTGCCCAGGATGGCAGCTGGGTTCATTTTCTGCCTAGGATGGCAGCTAGGTTCATTTTTTTGCCCAGGCCTAGGATGGCAGCTAGGTTCACTTTCTACCCGCACCTAGAATGACAGCTGTGTTCATTTTCTGCCCAGACTGAGAATGGCAGCTGGGTTAATTTTCTACTCGCACCTAGAATAACATGGGTTTATATTCTACCCAAACCTAGAATGGTAGGTGGGTTAATTCACTGCCTAGGCCTTGAATAGTAGCTGTTTTCATTTTCTACCCACATGGTGGCCATATACTTAAATATATTAATTGTTCAACCTGAGGGCTGAACAAAGAAAATATGACAGATTCCTCGATTAACACTTAAGAGTGTTGATCGAGGAATCTCCTGCTGTTTGCTCTGTATTCTGATGGCGGCCGCCGGACACTGTCACAATGCCCGACACTGTTCATTGGAAGATTTTCAGACTGTCTCATTCGATCAGCTGATCAAGTTCATGAAGAACTGACTAAACTTCCTATAGTGTATGGCCAGCTTTATATTAATTCATTTTCTGCCCAGATGTAGAATTGCAGCTCACTTAGCAAGTCTGCCCCAGGTTCACTTCACCTCGCCTTAAACAATGTGCTAAATCAACAACTAATATAAAGAAAATGTTCCAGGGGTAGCAATCTAATTGCTTAGTTACAGCATTAGTTAAGTACGCTTCTCCAACTGCAATGATTCACGATGATTAGGGATGGGTGAATGTGTCTGGGTTTGATTTGCAGAGGGCTCAGTGATTTCTGCTTCAAATTCAGCTACCCCAAACTGAGCAGTGAATCCCAGTGAAGTCTATGGAAGGTGAATCTTGTTTGTAAGTTCTGGCCATTTTTAGAGCTAATGTGGAAACAACTGTAAAACAGGCACGTACCTAAGAAAACTAAAAATGAAAAAACAATGTGCAGCAGAAGGAGGGTCTTTTCGTGTGGCATTGAGGGCAACACTGAAAATGCACAAATCGTTTAAAGAACATGCATGGTGGTTGCCTAAAAGCTGTACATGGTGTTAAGAAACAGTATGCCTTTTAAGGACAGTCTCAGTGACACTGTAAATTGGCAGCAGAGAATTGGCAGTGGAATTAATTTCTGTTTCTTTTACACTCAGCTTGGCTTGCATAAAACAGCAGAACTCCAAACAGATTCCTTTCAGTTTAATAAAAGAGCTCTTTTTTCCAGGTTATAAAGAATTAATAGGCTTACTTTGACTGGAAGATAGAAATTGACCTGTAGTTTTCTGAGGCTATCCTCGTTTTCTCTGATGCAAAATTGTGCTTTTGCTTGTCAATTTCTATAAAAATCTCATTAGGAATTAAGAGATTGCAGATGATACAGTGGTGAAAGATTGGCCATCAGCAGTACATTTTTAATGAGGGATAATTGGCTGAAATGTACTAGAGATAGAGTGCAGACGGGTTTATTTTTCCTACAAGGATCAAGAGACAACAGATTACACAACAGTGTAAAACTGGTCAGTAGCCGGACAGTTTCATGAAGCAAGACTAGGCTTGATTTTTTTAGAGACAAAGATCATAGGTTGCGGTTTTACTAAAAGAATCAAGATAATGCAGATGATACAAAACTGTCCAGTAGCAGGACAGGTTTAATTAGGGATAATAGGCCCAACCAGTGTACACCTAACTTTTATTTTATCTGTGGAGATAAAGGGTGTGCTAAATGGGACTGATATAAATTGAGGTGATTTAGGTCCACATTGTTTTTGCACTTAGTTTCATTTTTATTTCTCACGATGTAGTGCCTTGAACAAAAGGCAGCTCCAAGAACAGATGGTCAGTAATAAGTGAATTCTGCTCTTTGAGTACCCCAAACATAAAAAAAAATATGTACAGGTATATTATGTCTGTTTTATTCATGGTACGCAAATAATTTGTTCCTAATAGCATATACCGGTTTGTTCATTGGTTTTGGGTTAATTGAGAGACTAGTCGGGTACAATTAGTTTGTCAGATTGCTTCTTACAATAGTTGTATTATTGATTAGATAAATGGAATTTACTGTCGCCCTTACAACATCTAAATTGAACTTCACCTGAAGCAAGTAGTACATATATAATGTGATTATTTGTATTGCTATTTGTTGGGAAGCTCCTAGAAAACTACAAACCCCAACATTCTCTGACAACTAGAAGCTTTCAGACTTTGCTTAAAGTATTGTCATGATAACAGGAGGAATGTTGCTGGTTCATATCTATTTCATAACTGTGCCTTATGTTACTGTTACTTATCATTATGGGTTGGAGAGATAATCCAGCAGTGTCCTAAGGAATAAAGTTCAAGCTGATTCAGATGTGATAACAATCAAATCTCAGAACTTATTACAAAAAGGTTAGTCCTAATATTAGTCAGGAGATTTAAATATGATGCAGTGAATAAAACAAACATTTGCTTAAAGCGACCAATTACATTTAAGCCTTCACTTTTCATAGCAGGATAGAAAATGAAAACTAGCTTTTAGTTACTTTAGTTAGCACTTGCATTTGTCAAGATTCCAAACAGCTCCAACTCTCTCACCACCACTTCCCTGCACTTCTTGTCCAGTACAAGATCACAAGACAGAGCCATCTCCAGCAACTGTCCATCTACTAGTTTGGAGAAGGGGGGAGGAGCAGGGAGCAGGTAGCAAGGAAGTGGCATGTTCTACCTGTATATTTGTGGAGACACACACAGCTTACTAGCATGCAAGGATGGCTCCATAGGGCCCGGAAGGTAAAGTAGCCACTGTAAAACAGGAAATCAGGGCCAGTGCTCAGGGAAACAGCCAGTGGCATCACAAGGGAGGTGCGGGGGATGCAGTCTGCACCGTGTGACACCATCAAAGGGGTGACACCAAAAGGACTGACACCAAAATGCAGTTAAGCGCGATGCTGGTGTGAACAAGCCCTTAAACATGAAGGCCTGGTTCACACCTGGGCATTTTACAGCACGTTCCTACGCGTTTTTACCGCGAATCGCGGTAAAAACACGCGGCACGAAACGCGCAACAAACACGCATTTTCGATACGCCTAGGTGTGAACCCAGCCGAAGGAGCAGCATCCATTGTAGGTGATTTAATCAGCAATTGAAATAGTTAAAAAAACCTTTGGACTTTAGTTTTACTTTAAGGCTGGGTTCACACCTAGGCGTATCGAATATGCGCGTTTCCGAGGGCTACCTGGCTGTATCCCAATGGATACGCGCAACAAAAATGCCCCAAAGAAGCTCCTGTACTTCTTTGGGCGTAGGGAGTTTTGTAGCGCGTTCATACGGCCTGTAATACGCCCAGGTGTGAACCATGCCCATAGGAAAATAATGGGATTTCGGTGTTTGAGCGTTTTGCAGAGTGCAGGAACGCGCTACAAAACGCCCAGGTGTGAGCCGGGCCTAAGGTCTTGTTCACACCAAATGCAGAGCAGATTTGCTCAGGTTTCACCTGCTCTGGAACTGCACGCTGCGATGTGAACTGGAGCAAAAAATACCACTGGAATACATTGGACGCAGTTTTGATCCGGTCTGCAACTGATCTGCTCTGCACCTGCTCCGTGCTTGGTGTGAACAAGGCCTAAGGGTAACAATTTTAACTGGTTGTGGATAGAGTGGGGAAGGGTTAACATCTCTCTCAAGTTTGTCTTTCTGTCTGTGACCCCATTAGGGAGATTTTGCTTAACTTCCTGCCCCTGTGACACCTGTACAAGAAATGGGGGGAGGGGGGGGGGGGGGA